ACTGATCGTTCACTTCCTTGTTGTCTATTGTAGGGTCAATTGTGGAGAATGCAATCTGTCTGCTAGCAGATACCTGGTCATCGGATACTTGTGCTGACATTGCTTTGTCCTGTCTGCCTTTTTGCTCTGGGATCGGTATTTTCTGTCACTGTCTTGTGAATGTCGAGTATCTCGAAAATATCTACCATCATCGTAGTCGCGTCGATTGTATTTACTCATTAGTCCTGTCTGTCATGATCATCGTGATTTGCGTGGCAGTATTGATAGCGGTTGTTTCTGGTGAAACGTTCAGCACATGTACGGTAGCTACGATTTAAATCAGATCTGTCATTATTCTTCGACATGTATATGTAATCTATCTTGTCTTGACGAGGACCAGACTTGTCAATCCGTCAATAGTAAGGTTTACGACCGTCTTGGTCACGACCCTGATTATGTGAGTTACCAGCAACATATGATTTGATTTACGCTTGTAGCTTACGGCATTGTACGATAGAATGACCACGATTGTTGCAGAATGCACAAATTCCTGTCGATATAGCTGCATGTGCACCTTGCACAATGGTCAATGGGTAACTTTCGTCTGGATCCAACGCGATGAGATACGTGGTGAGCTCATCATACGACATGACCATCATAGCGGGTGTCTTCAACGCAATCTTAAGAGTCTGATTATCGTCGTTTACAGCCTGCCGTATAATAGCGCATAGTCTGTTGTTAGGACTTCGAACCTCCGGCTTTCACAAATGCCGTGTTGAGACGACTGATAAGACTGGCGTAAGATTCGTTCCGATCTTGCGTGATGCGGTTCAGTTTCCCTTTTAATGTCTGGACATCATCTTCGGTCAGGGCTTCAAACTTGCGTTTCAGTGCGGCAAAAGCTTCTCAAGGCTTATCAATGAATTGGTTGATCTCCGTCTGCAGCAGTGGAGATAAGGTGCGGTTGATAATCCGATATGCCTCAGCGATTTCCTTGGGTGTCCATCGGTTGCCTCTAGACGGAGTCGGATCGGTCAATATTGTTGGGATTCCTTTGCAATTCACGGGTAGAATGGTCTGAGTTTTTCCAGGAAGCCAGTCGACCTTTCGATTCGATAATAGTGGTGATCTTAATATCCTTAGAGCTCACAGTAGGCATATTGATAGCGCGAGATCAAAGAGACTTGTAGAGTATGGAGAGTAGCTGAGAGGTACAAGCCAAGGAATACAATAGACCTCTTCTTAAGTACGGTTATCTCAGCTAAGAAAAGTCTCTAGTCTGAGAGAACCGAACTGAGTCTTTATATGTGCTTTCACCAGACTCAGAATTTACTTGAGTGTTTCTCTCACACGCGGGAGTCTCGGTATAGCTTACCGGTCCTACCGCTAATATTTCTGATGACTCTAATATCAGAAATATTGCAATCTTAACTCCAAAACTCAATTTTTGATGATCCTGGGTTTTGGGATTTGGATTGGCTTTTTGATAATCTGGTCTCTAGATGCTACACGTGAGTGTTGATATCTTACATTGTTTCACATCTTGTGGGTCCTTTAAGTAGCGATCGTGATGACTAGGGAAGTGCATGCGATATGCAACCGTATCAATAGGAACATTTGTATTATCCTGGCACGGATAAGCGTGGACGATGATGGCGTTGTAGGTTGTCACGAAATAAATGCACTGCTACTTGTCCTTAATTAGGCTGTTGTCGTGGAGATTATGTCACTCTGCGAAATGGAATCAAAAGAACACTTAGCCGACGACGACAGATTCTGGGAAGTTTCCATTGCCAAATGTAAATCCACCGGTTGCAAAATATATCTACCTGGCGATTTCACCACAGCTGTAGCATCTTCTCCCGTATCTGATTTCTTGTGCTCGATTTTGAGCTTGTTTCAACACCCGCTCTCTACGAGAAACGTGTACACTATCGTAAGATGTTGTTTGAAGAATCGACTTCGTACGGCCAATTTTGCATTTCACGGTGCTAATTTGCTTTATCTAGTCCATCACACTGTTAGGTAACTGATTAGTTGGTGTCGTCCATACCTGCTTTAGATACAGAGGAGCCAAATTGTGATTGCGATGTAGGCGCTACCTGTTGCTCAAGAGATTACACTCCCGACGACGCCGGGATCGTGTCATTGGCGATAGACAAGTAAAAACTCGCCATTGAAAATTCACGTAGTTGGCTGAGTTGTCTACGAATGAGATGAATAATTGCCGTGGCCTTCTGCACATGCGTCGGCGTTTTCAAATGGCCATCCCGATCAGAAACCTATTCTGGATGCTGTTTAGATCCAGCGTAGAAATCACGTGAATTGCTGCCTTCTCTTCGTTATCCGGTGTCGTATCTATAGAAAAAGCTGTCGCCACCTTTTCACGGACTGAATGCAATCGACAATGAACTCCAAGCAACCGTTTCAAAAACCGGATACAAGATTGCCTGCCTACCTGAGGTACCAGTGTAGTACTAGGTCCCTTCATACCCTAAAAACCTCTTGAAGCCGTGTAGTAAAGAGTGTTAAGTCTGAAATAAGTGAACTCAGTCAGAAGTGCCACTGGGAATGCATGTGGGACGAGATTTTCTCTAACAACGGGCAATTGTTAAAATACCCGTATCTATTGTTTTCGTCTTTAAGGGATAGTATTGCTTATTTCAAAGGAGATAAGTTACAATGTAAATATATATATATATATATATATATATATATATATGGTATGGCTCTCATAGCCGTTGTAGTGGTTCGGGGAAGATCGATGGGAAGAAGTGGTCAGTACATTCCCCTTTGAAGCTTGGGCCAAGTGAGTCGACGATGGAAGATATGCGCTGGGTCAATTCAGGCCGATGCAGACAAAAAACTGACACCATCGAATGTGCCACGTACACATATTTGCTTGCTGACTTACCAAGTGGCGTACCCACCACTGTGGTACGGATCGGGTCTGCACCGTGTAGTACCGTGGAATGTGTTAGTGCAGAGTACGAAAAGCCGAGTAGGATCAGGTTATCCGTTATAATTCGGTGGAGGAGCGAGGTTAGGGGTGAACCGATGCCGCACCAGACCACGGATGCACTCGGTATGTGCTGGTTGGCCTGAATCGGAAGTATCATAGGCAGAACCAACAAAGGCGATGACTTGGTTTGGACCAAAATTTGGAATCAGTAGTACTTCACCAACGTGATTCGCTGGGGAAAGGGAACATCTGTTGATGTGTCAGAGACGGGTGTGGGTACGGGGGTTGTTCTACATGCTGGAAAAAGTATCCAAGGTGTTCGGGTCCAGATACTGTGGAAGTCGTTGCGCTCTTGTAATTGCTAGAGGTGGACAGAGCCAAAGGGATGCAGTTTCGGGCCGTCAGGATGTGTCGGATCACTTGTTGGATGCAGGTAAAGCGGCTGGTGGTAAATTTGTGGCCACCGGGGCAAACAGGGCAGAGGCAGCCCTCGGTGCGGTATTCGAGCAATGTGAACATGTACGTATTCATTACAATCAAAGCACAGAGCCAGATTGGTGTAGGCTCGAAGCAGTGGTTGAAACTGTCTGGCTTTGGACCGATTTGAGGTTGGTGGTTTGCCCATGACCAGTTGGTAGTAGTATTGGCGCCGGGCCATTGCCGCGTTCTCCTTGTTAGACCAGCGTTTCGTTGAGTTATTTCTAATGTCGTCACAGCGTCGGCGGAGAGCTACATGGCCGGTTTCGTATACAGTTTCCAGGTGGGCATAGATACTGTACGGGAAGCACAGTGATGGTTTGTCGTGGGCCCAGGCGGGTTGCGTCAGTGGGGTGAGTGGGGTTGTACTGGCCATTGAGTCGGGTTGTTTTCCCACATATCCTCCAGAGGTAGTCCGCTAATGGTTGCACGGGGAACAGGCCACAAAAGTGGAGTAAGTTTGTTTGATGTTTGGGATAAACCTAGAGTATTTAGTGCCCATGATGGTGGCTGCTGCTTGGATGAGTGCTGACCTATAGCGCCCAAACAGGGGGTCCAGCGCATCCTTCTATATAGACGGAGCCCAGGCAATAATATTCAGGCCATATGTAGCCGTGTGGATAGAGTGAATATTTTGAACAGCAGCAGTCAGTTGCGGGGGTGTCCCCAGCTGAAACCATGGAAGCCATAAGCGCGGAAAGAGGCGATACTCAGGGACAATGCTGCAACCAGGGATTCCATATGTCTGGCGAGGTTGATCCCTAGTATTCCGTGGTAGAGTGGAAACTTCAGATATTTGGAGAGTTAACCCGTCTCCTAGCTACTAAATTATTATGACATCCGACGAGTCATCCTTCTGTCACCGAATCTTCTACTCCAAAATCTGGTCCGGTCCCTGAACTAATCTCCTTAGGTCCGGTCCTCTGGTCCGGTCCTCTGGTCCGGTCCTAAATGTCCGTCCAGGGCACTTTGTCCACATCTGTCATGTAACTGAGTACACGCTTGGCCCAAGAATAAATGTGTGTTTCATCGTTAGGGCGTAGTATCCACAGAATATTTCGTCCATATTCTTGTTGTTGTTGTTGTTCTTTTTGCCAATTTTTGGCATATTGAATAGTAGATCGATCGTCACAGTGATACTCAAGACGACACTAAGGTCAATTGTAAAAGCTGAACAGATCAAGCAACGTGTGGTCGTAATACCATATAGAAAAATAAACCCTAGTTTAACCAGAATTATTAGATCCTAGGATCTGATAAGCTTAGTCTGTATTCATCAGATCATAGGATCCGAAAAACTTAGTTTGTGGTTATCAGATCATATAATCTGATAAACCTAGTTTATGTTCGAGACTGAACACATGACTCACTAGAGTCCTAGTTAGTTATATTCAATAATCTAATAAAGACGCAACGACTCGCTGATGATTCGAGGAGAACGTTCAGATATAGTTATTTGAGCGTGACTTACTACATTTTTAACTAGCATAGTGTAGTTGCGATTATTCGATTAGAAATACAACATACGTACTAGAAAATTTTAAATAGAAATTTCAGTATAGAAAGAAACCTACGGAACACCATGTCGAGAGGTGCAATCGGGGAAACGCCTAACATTGACAGCCACCAAAGCTCAGACAGTGGTTTTAGTAGCAGTAAGACTGACAGCGATATGCCGACGATACTATGGGGTAGCAGTAGTGCTACCAGTAGCGATTCAGACCAAGCATATCAGCCTACTACAAAACGTGAAGAAGGGATAATCAGTCTTGATCAAACACGAGTCATGGAAGGTGGGGTGTTGAGAGAAGACCAGCCTACTAGACTTAATACACTCTTCTACATTGACGATACTAGCTGGAACCAGGATCAACTCGAGGAATTGAGGTACACAGGGGCAACAAGACACTTTAGGGTTAAAAGAACCCAACCGACTAGCCCCATCCAGAGGAGGTCGACAGGAGAAACAAACCATACACACACACACGGATTTAAGAGGAATTCAATCTAGCTGGGACCGGAATGCTAGTAAGGGGTCAGAGTGAAACAATGATATGGGGTACTAGGTGTGATAAGGTACAAAGACGATGAGGTAGTGTATGAAACTAGGTGTGGTTGTGTAAGTATCAATATATGTGTGAACATATGGAGTACGTAATATGCGCTTGTGTACACACGAATTTGGTCATGTAGTTATGTAAAATCTGATGTGCATGGAATTGGAAAAAAAGTTATTAGATACGTATGTAAGTTATAGATACAGTGACATAGCTGTAGTTTCACAGTCTCGATTGTAGCATCTAGGGACCAGATTATCAAAAAGCCAATCCAAATCCCAAACACATAAGAATCAAATACTGAGTTTTGGAATTAGCATTGAAATATTTCTGATATTACAGTCATCAGAAATATTAGCGGTAGAACCGGTAAGCTATACTGGGACTCCCACTTGTGAGAGAAACACTCAAGTAAATCCTGAGTCTGGTGAAAACACAAATAAAGACTCAGTTTGGTTCTCTCAGACCAGGGATTTCTCCTAGCTAAGATAACCGTACTTGAGAAAAGGTCTATTGTATACTATTGTCTCGCTCCTTTCAGCTACTCTCCATACTCTACATTTTTTACAATATCCTTACTTAGGTAAGTCTAACAACTTACAACTCTACAACCAAGAAGAAAATAGAAGTGAAGTAACACACTAGGTGACTTAGAAAGATATAAACCTTATTAAAGTAGTTCCAACCACTAAGAAGAGAGACCCAGACCAGAAGAGGTGTCAACGAAGAGACCAGAAAGACTCGGACCGCAAAAGGGAAGAGGATAGAAGACTCTCAACGACCAGGTGTCAGCAGCAAAGTGGGCACAAAGAAAACCAAGAAAGAAGTTATCCCAACAGCTTGAGAAACGACAAGTAACAAGGTATCCAAAGTGGGTGCTCATTTGTAACATAGGTGAACGTGGTGTTCTAAAACACACAGGTGCAAGTAACGTGTCCATAACCATATATATTGTTATATTGACACAGTGAGTTGTCATAAAATTGCTCAATAATGTGTTTCAGTGGAAATTGGTTAAGTAAGGGGGTTAAACCAGTGGAAAAAGAGAAGAGCTGTCACAATGATCATTTCATCAATGTTGGGGATTTTCTGTGTTTTCGAACAAGAAAATATCCTGATGTCATGATAAAAAAAAGACACCATATCACTTCACTCAGCTATCCTAGAAAACAATAGCAAAATGCACGTGACACAAGAGAATCAGATCAGAACATCTGTGCATGCAGAAACACAAGAAGACAAGCACAAGACAATAGAGGTACACAAAGACAATAACAAATCAGTTACACCTCATTAAACGTAACCACATATATTAAAACTCACAGAGATCGTAGGATTTACAAACATCAAATCTCCATTTCGAAGCATTTCGGTCAGACATGAGCATAGACACCAAGGAGAAGTATAACAATCTCCACTACCAGGAACCAACAGAGCATGCACATGCTTAATAGACGAAAGAACAATAAAACAACTAGTCATTCTACTAGTCATTCAAGAAGATAACTGAACAAACAATAGATCAATTCACGATCAAATGCTAAGACCAGTTTCCAGTCAAATGAACACAAACCTGAAACAAGACACACACAACTAATGGTATACAAGACACTCACAAAGATGCAATTCACGGGAAATGGCATAACACACGCACAAAGACTCGAAAATTAGGAACAGTTTAAGATTGACAACATCAAAGTGATAGGTTAAGCCAGCCACGAGACTACATAGGCAATACATAACCTAGACACAAAGTACAATAAGCACACAACAGCAGGTATTAAGAAGTGAAGTGCCAAACAATTACAACCGCAAAAAAAAATTATTTTTTTAATCAGACAACCCACAGAATCAATCGAGACGCGCATAGCATCAAATAGCGATTGAGGAAGTCAAAACGATTCAGTACTTGAAAAACAACAACACATGATCTGTACCAATAACAATTACGATACACACCGACCACATCTCACACATGAGCATTAAGTGAAAAATACAAAGACGACTGGAACATACACCAGGCACGATCGTCACACAAAGAAACGTGTCAAATCTCAGACATGTACAAACAAATCACCAAAGCTCAGTAGTTGGCTAAGGTAAAGTGACGCATAAGATAAGGTTACAATTAGTACCCACACAGTCTAGCATAGACACACATGATATCAAAGGTGGTAGTGTGGCACAAAAACACCCTGTAATCACACAACAAGTCATCTCCATTTCTTTTCACAAGGTCTGATCATGAAATAAAAACAAGCATGCTCGAACAAATATAGGACAGACAACAAAAGTATAGTTTATAAGAACCAAGATATGCCAACAAGGGCGAAGGGGTTGTAGACTTACAAGATTGCAATTAATTCACAGCAGCATCACGAAGCCCAGAGGTTACAACGTGCACGAGTGAGTCACGAGGTGTAGAAATAAAATTTTACTAAGCAACAATCTAATATCAAGTGATGTTCACACAAGACACAGTTCGGTATAATATTGTATCTAGGGACCAGATTATCAAAAAGTCAATACAAATCCCAAAACCCAGAATAATCAAATACTGAGTTTTGAAATTAGCATTGGAATATTTCTGATATTAGAGTCATCAGAAATATCAGCGGTAGAATCGTTAAGCTATACCGGAACTCCCGCGTGCTAGTGAAAACACAAATAAAGACTCAGTTCGGTTCTCGCAGACCAGGGACTTTTCCTAGCTGAGATAACCGTACTTAAGAAGAGGTCTATTGTATCATTTTGTCTCGTACCTTTCAGCTACTCTCCATACTCTACATTTTTTTTACAATATCCTTATAGATAAGTCATCAATAAGCCTAACACACTAAAGAAGAAAAGACTGTAAGTGTGAGAGCTATGGCCTTTATTACTATTTTATACAAACTCTAGAGATTTAAAGTAACCTGTGTCAAAGAAGTGGAGGCTGGAACAAGCAAGAAGGTCATCAGGAGACGCAAAAGCCAACAACAGAGACTGTAGAAGACATGAGAAGGAAACAGAGAACAGCAGGACTTCAGAGCTACAACTGAGGTAGATAACAACGTGCTCCAGAAGTAAGCTGGATACGTTACAGAAGTGCAACAGTTATCTTAATAAGTGAACAGTGATATTAACGTGTAAAAGAATATTAGGTGTCAAGGTGATTAATTTATCAATGTTGGGGATTATCGAACAAGAAAATGCACTGATATCAGGGGCCCTAAGAAACAACACGAGATAAGACACTTACAAACACACACAACATAGGCTTACGATGGTACAAGTTTATAGAACCATTCAACAATAAGGGTTTGATAGTTAATAGCTAAAACCGCAATTACGGGCAAACAAAAAGGTGGCTTACTGTGCAGTACAACAACTCACAAGGGGCAAGTAACACTAGGTTAGAACAATAAGACAGCACGATCGATCACATAAGATCAGAATCATTAAAAATTGAAGACCGCCCATTAGTATACGAGTAATAAGGGTAACATAATAGCAAACACCAGAAAAAGATGTGTCATAAAGATCATCAGATCGCAGGCACACACAGAGCATGCATTAGACAAATCACTGACTGATCTTAGTATAGAGCACAAGAAATCTTAGAAGCATCACGAGCACGTGAAATTGAAAGAGATCTGAAGAATGCATAAGTAATCTAGGACACTCCAAGCACGGAACCATATATACTACAGGGGTACAGCCTGTGATAAACACACATAACCCTAGTCAATAGTATAACGCACAACAAATAATAGAAACAAGCAAGAGAATGTAAAATTGAGAGAGATCTTAAGAATGCACAAGTAATATAGGTCATTTCAAGCACGCTACCAAGTATATTACAGAGGTACAACCTGTGATAAATACACATAACATAACTGTAAATACACAAGGGTCTTCACACTTAGAACAAACAGTTCAAAAGAATCACGAGCACGTGAAATTGAGAGAGATCTTCCGAATGCTCAAGTAATCTAGGGCGGGCAAAAACACTATCCCAAGCATAGATACTGTATAGTAATCTAGGGAGGGCAATATAACCATCCAAGCATAGATACTGTATGGCATATCGAGACCAGTAGAATACACGTCTAGGAAACACAGAACATGCAACCAGACATTGAAATCTACAGAACACACATAGTATACACACAGAAACAACGACTGATACGGATTAGATGTACAGTCACGACGTAGAATATACTCAACCGAAGCACACATACTAGCATGTGGAGACTTCTATTCGGTTCAACCTGTAACACACAAATATTCCGATCGACCACATAGAGTGGCTCAAGAAGATCAATAAAGGAATCCACAGCCAAATCAGAAAAACGCTCAATTCAGAGCACACATATTTTCTGATCAAATAAGCAAGAGAGCAAAACAAGGGTATAGTCCCAAATAAGAGAACCAGCAATTGCTCAAAGTACAAGTAACGTATACAGGGTGTAAACATGTCATTCAGATCGATACGTATACACAAGCACACACCAAAGTCAAACAGCCCATACACACGAGAGCCAAACAGCTCATACATATACATAGTGAAGCAGTACATCAAAGGGGCAACCAACCAAGAACAAAGCAAATATACAGTTAACCAAAGAAACTCACGAAGTTACGGTTTAACACAGATCGCACAAACGAGAGTCGAGCAAAGCAATCACAAACGAGAGTCGAGCAAAGCAAGCACAAACTACCGTTCGATCAGGCACCGAAATCGCAGGCAAGCACGCTTACGGACACAAGGTGAGAGCATAGAGTCACAGCACACAAGAGGCAACAAAGTTACGGTTTAACACAGATCGCACAAACGAGAGACGAGCAAAGCAAGTACAAATTACCATTCGATCAGACACCGAAATCGCAGGCAAGCACGCTTACAGACACAAGGTGAGAACATAGAGTCAAAGCACACAAGAGGCAAGCAAGGTCCAATACGTTACAACAACAGTAAGTCGAAGAAACACGAATGAATTTGGTACAACAGACACAGTGGTAACAATATGGATACAACAGACACAGTGGTAACATACACATCACGGAAGTTCGGTACAATACAATATTTCAAATCTGTCACTACAACAAATAAGGGACAAAACTGAACCCACATGGTGATGTCAACAAGACCGAACTTTATCAGTGACGTCACTAGGACCGAACATATCATTGAGATCTCATACGAGAAACTAAATCCTCACATGACGAAATAAGCACAGGTGACAATAAGTTCTCACGCAACGGAATAAGTACAAGCGACGTCACACGTGACTAACAAACACCGTTTTCAACCCTCATAAATACAGGGAACAAAGCAACAAGCTACCGGGCCATACAGCACGGTAAACACTTCCCGCGGAAGTGCAGCAAAGCAACAACAATATAATAGTAAGTAAAATATATCCAAATTTTAATTATTTTATACGAGTTATTACTAAAGACGAGGCGGGGGTGAAGCGCGCGCTTTCGCACAAAACATATCCAGAGTCTTTATTAATAATCCACTAACACCCCAACAATCAACAGACGTTACATCCAATGCTAGCCAACTGGATTGCAAAAACGTTCCACCACCATTTCTCTATCATACATGTCTCAGGCAAGGACAACCAGATGGCAGATATGTTGTCACGTCTACATGAAGATACTTTTAGTACCAAAGAGTCAAAAGTATTACAACAGGCGAATGAGGCAACACATAATAGCCAAGAGTACACCATCTTGGAAACGAACATGCCCATAACCATCTCGGCTATAGACTGGAGTACATCCCAGATTCTACCAAGAAACGGAACGAAGATTTGGGAAGTTCACAGTAGATCTGTTTGCATCGGCACACAATGCACACACAGATAAATACTACACCAAATAACAGAATGCGCTACAACAAAAGTGGGCGCAAGAAGTGAATGCATGGACGAATCCACCATGGGAACTCATACCTGATGTCTTTGACAAAGTCATAGAAGAGGCAGCCAGCATCACGATAAGTGCACCCTACTACCCTAACGCAACGTGGGTTCCAAAGTTCTTGTCTTTACTAGAAGAAGATCCGATGCTGGTGGAAAACACAAACAATACTTTCCTAAAAGAAGGACAGAAGACTTGTGGCAAGTCCCCGTGGGGCGTCACGTTAGTCGCAAAGATATGGGTAAAGTCTCCATACATTGACCCAAAATGGAAACAACCTGCTATACACGTTGCAGCATCAGAACCAGTTCACTCTGGGGATGCACCACAGGCAACAGATTATGAGACACGGGTAAACATCATCGAGCAATACCACAACCTGAGACATTACACTCTTGAGGAAACCACAAGGTGCAAGTAGATGGACATGATTGGACTGATATCCAACAACATGTACACAAGTTCATTGACGGATGCACACCATGTCTCAAAAATAAGATACACAAAAAGGGATTTCATCCCTTACAATCAATCACAGCAGCATATCCAAGCGACAGAGTCCAAGTGGACACCATTGGGCCACTATTGGATTCCAATAGAGGACACACACATGTGTTAGTACGGCTTGATAGTACGGCTTGATATATATTCCTAGTACGTCATTTTACCTCCAATGATGACAAATCGGCGGCTACCATAGCACGCATGCTGGTACCAATCATGTGTGAACATGGATTCCCACAAACCATACAAACGGACCAAGGCACTGAATATGTTAACGACATACTTGCAAAAGTTGTTGAACAAGCGCCAATGCAACACTTAGTCTCTCGGCCGTATCAACCTAAAGTCTTAGGCGCAAACGAACGATCACACAGAGACCTCATGTCACTGCTACGGAAATTCGTTGAACAGAATCCAGGTATCTGGTGTTCACAACTTCCATTCGTACAGATGGGCCACAATCTCGAAGACACAAGTCACCGCGCCTTAATGTTTACTTTGGTCGCAGACAGAATCAACTCACGGACTCCAACGAGCCAGAAACCGCACCCAGTACAACAGTATCTTGGAAAGAGCGACTGCAAAATCTAGAAGTAGCCATCAGGCCATAACTAGCTAATAATGTTGCACAGTATCAAGAAAAGATGCGCGCAGCATACAATCGAAAATACAAAAAGAAGTATGTAAACTTTCAAGAGGGGGACCTTGTCATGGTCCGCTATCAAGGTGAAATGAATAAGTTAACAGCACCGAATGGCGGACCATAAAAAATAGTATGCAGGGAGGGCAACAATAGTAGAATTCACACGGCCGATCTCTCAGGCGAGATTGGACCAGACGAATCTTCAAGTCCAAGTGATGTAGTAGTGGAATCCTCACGTCCAGACTTTGACACAGCAAGTTCATCGGAGGACGACATTCTGACGTGGTTAAGGCAAAATCATGCACCTCATAAAATGGATAAAGCTAGGACTGAGAAAGATTGTAAGGGGTACGGGATTGTACACCCAAAGCTTAAGCAAAATATATCTCAGGTGTATCACGAATGCAACGACTGCGAAGTTAATCGGATCAAACGTGGATATGCCTTATTGTGGAGTGCATCAGAAGACGAGCCGTGGCACAAGGTTATCATTGATTTGGTTGAGCTACCCACGTCCAAACACACGAAAGGGAAGTATATCTGCCGCGTGTTTGATGTTGCTTCAAGATATAACATGCTATATCTTCTGAAAGATAAATCAACACAAACTGTGGCTGAGTGCATAAATATAAATGTTTCGCAGATTTCGGCTGGCCAGCTATTGTATATACCGACAACGGTAGTGAGTTTACAGGAGGTTTCATGACGACACTGTTACTTGTTACGGGATCATGCCACAATATGGGTGTACCTTACAAGCCTCAGACACAAGGTGCAAACGAGGTACGACACATAAAGATGAAGGAGTTCATGCCTGGAACATTGCTAGACGATGCTGACATGTGGCCATACTCAATTAACTGGGTACAGACACAAATGAACGAGATACCGGATTCGGTCACTGGTATAACACCCGCTCACTATTTCATGGGCCGTTATAGTGAACTACAAGTACCTTTCAACAAGGATTCTCAGGACGATTATGTGTTACCATGGTTAGAGAAGATGCGTCGTACCAGAGATGCCGTCTTTCCTTGAGATGAAAGACATCGCACTCAAGAAGAGACAAAAGCGATGTAATGATTTTAAGAAGATTAAAACCAGTCGAGTTTGAGGTGGGCGACATTGTTAACATTATGGCTCGCAACTCCGACTCAACTGTGCTTACGGCTAATTACATTGGACCGTTCAAGATTTCAGTGTCCGATAAGAAGAGCGGAACTTACGAAGTTAACAATGTTGACGGTTCAAGTGCTATTAGAATCGGATCACATCGAATTCCGACGACAGAAATCATCCTTCGTCGCACACGTGAAGCTGCTACACCTCTTATGTCTTACGAGTTTAAGAAAATTCTGGGGAAGTACAAACATGAGAACATGACTTACTACACAACAGAGTTTGCAGATGGTGCACAATACGATCTACTCCCATCGGTATTTGATGATCCAGACGTATTGAAGGCTTTTAATAAGAAGTTTCGCAAACGCCTACATAAGAACAAGGCAGACGCAGAGGCAGTCTTGCATACAAACAAACGTCCCGATGTAGTTACGGTTTATCCACAGACTTTATTCATTCCAAGCTTCCAAGAGCATGGAATGTACGTACCTCCTAATGGCACCAAGAAACGTCCCATCCACCATCGGGGACCTCAAGGACCTCAACTCAAACGTAGTAGAGTTACTGAGTAACTTATAAAGTCTAAGTATACTTCGTCTAAGAGAATATAATATAAGCATTGAGGCTATTATATGATCGAACCCCGTTTCTTCTTTTCGCTTGTACAATTCATGTGAGCTTTTTGAGTCTATGTGCTTCAAACCACATATAAGCCAACATTGTAATTTTCAAACTGAGGGGGGGGGCTGTGTAAAATCAGCGGGTTCCTATAGTAGAAGCACATGTTAAACGTGTATTATAACCGTGATAACGGTTAACGCAAACGGTTATAAAACCTGGTAACCGTTGAAACGCAATTGTAGATATTTGTATCTGTATAATAATCAAATAATCTAAATTTAGATATATTGAATTTGCAGAAAACAAACAAACAAATAATCCATTTTTGGATATTTGAAATATAATTGTATACAATAGAGGCCGGAGACTCTATTGATATTGATATGATGGTTTTTCTATAACGATATGTTTTCCATCAGAATATTGGGATATAATAGTTGGGAGAGTCTCAGGTAAAATTGACACTTGATGACACATGTTATATTACCGAATACTCTTAGCGCGAGATAACCCATTGACAAATGGGACATGAAAATGATCCCCTCTAGCCAGCCGACTAAATGTGCCCGTCTATGCCCTCAATGGGATAGAGAGCTAGATACCATGTGATGGGATATAGGTACAGACATTTAACTGTAATAACATGGTGTATTTTATTTTATTTTTATTTTTTTAAGTTAGACTTAGTTATTTTATTAGTAATTGCGATAGGAAGATTGTTTCGAAGCATGAAATGATATAGAATGAAATATCATGCATCCAATGAAATGAAATCTGATCTTAGTTACTGACACCAAGTAAATCTAGACCGAAGTATTGAGTGATTAGAGCGGAACTATAAAGACAATAGTCTCAGTTTTAAATCCCCTAATCTTTTAGCTCATTACCAAGGGCTGAAGCTAAACTTGAATTACATTGTGCAAATTTACTTTAAAATCGTACTTTCTTTTACGTTAACTTATTGACATCTATAGTCGGCCTGGTTAGTCTGACTTTTACAAATCCGGTAAGACCTAATCCCAATTCGCCCCTAATATCCATTCCCAGAAATACATCAATATTATTGGGTAAATTCATAAGTTCAAACGTAAAACCTGCAGCAGACTTTGTACAATATTGAACCGTCGTGGCGTTTGTTTTGCCGAAGAGCGGTGTGCGGAAAACTTTGTCCGCCAAGTACAGAAAACTATCTTTAGCTGGTGGTGTATTAGATAGTTGCACCGCTGCTGCGGATGCCTGAGTAATAATGGAGCGGTTCGCTCCCGTGTCAATGAGTGTGCGCATCGCATGTCCGTTTACTTGTAACGTAACATATACACGGTTGTCGGTAGGGAACAATTTATCTTTTACTGCAAATATTCTTGACGTCGTACGACCAAACGTCACGCACAGGTACAACTCAGACACCCCCACATCTCAATTTGAGCTTAGCTCCTTTTCCCAACTGGCTGGCCCTTGCTCGGCCTCCATCAACTCATCTTCGTGTCTACATATGACTTGTCGACCAAATCATGAATATGCATCACCTTTCCTACCTCTGCTGGCGTCGGATCAGGCATCTGATCACCCCATCCATGAGATTAACTCGAGGGCGGAAGTTAATACCCGGCGCCTGTTGTGTACGCGTGGATGTTCCCACAGCCGATGCACGGTGTGGTGGCGCACCCCCCTGTTGTGTATGGCTGCCCGTGTTGGTTGATGTTGGTACTCCCAGTAACTTAGGACAGCGTGATGCGTATGCTGGGCCAGGAGGTATATTCTACTCACATGACCGACAACGAGCCCTAGGGTTTGATGTTGGCGGTGCATGCGGGTTAGCTCGTGTGTTCGCATCCACACGCATTCGTGTGCGTGAACGTGATCCCCCCGGAATTTGCAGCGGTCGAGAAAGGCTGACCCGACGGTGTTCTTCTGCCTTGTCAATATTCACCCGAAATACATCACGTATTTGTGTCGCGGAATATTCTCGCCAGAAAGGATGCATACGAAGAGTATCACAGTAATATGCTCCCCCGCAGCTTAACTGATTAGGTTGAGCATACCATGGTTGCGGTATATTTGTAAAACGGATTTTCATATTGTCCATCTCCATAAAGTCTACTTTGCGTTCAAAATTCTGAAGTTGTGTCTCTAGCGGCACCGAAGGGTTTAACTTCATGCAAGCCAATATATTTTTGTATGCGTTATTATCCTGATCTTGTTCGTGTGTGCGTACAATATGAGCAGTGGCGTCCTGAAACGACATGGGCTGCAATTTTTGTTCGTTCTCCACGTTAAATTCTAATAACACCTTGTATGCTCTTTCTTTCTGGAGTGCCCTATGTCCATCTGCATATGAATCGGGTCTAATTCGTGAAATTTTGCATCCTCATGCCAATTTAAGATGAACGCATGCAGCTGTATCTTCTGCGGGTTATTCAAATAATAGCTGCCCTGTGGGTTAGGTGGCCATTCCATGGGCGTTCGTTTGTCTACCTTATATATATATATATATATACATATATTGTGCAAGTCTCCAACGTCTCATTAGATGTGCGAATTAAACCCTGCAACGAACGGGCGTACTCTGTGCGCCCCTCAGCTTCTGCTTGTATCATACGTTGGGTAAGAAGGAATACTTACGTTTTCATCTCTGCCGCGGTAGATTCAGTGATGCACGCCTCCGTAGGTGGTGACATCTTACATCGTTTCACATCCTGCGGGTCCTCGATTATGAACATGGAAGTGTTTGCGATATGCAAGCGTATCGATAGGTACATTTGCATTATCGACTGTGGACGACGACGATGTTGTAACTTGTCCCGAAATAAATTCTCTACCACTTGACCGTTAGTAGGCTGTTGGTGTGGAGATTCCATCACTCTGCAAAATGCATCAATGGACTGCTTCGCCGATGATGACAAATTTTGAGGGGTAGCCATGTTCAAATGCAAGTCCGCTGGGTCCAAAAAAAATCCACCCGGAGATATCACTATAGCTGACGACTCCTGATTACGATTAAAATGCCCGAAGTCGATAGGCGTCACTTCTGGTGTCGGAATTGCTTGTGATCGATTTCGAGTGTAGTTCAGCATCTGTCCTCTACGAGAAGCGTGTACAGTATCGTACGGAGCCAGCTCCCCAAAGTCAGATGACATCCCCTCCGGTGTCGGGATTTCTTTTGCCCATTTTTGAGCGTTTTGCAATATTCGATCTCTACGAGAAATATGCACATTATCGTACGGAGCCACTTGAGGTACCGGCTTCGTGCGGCCAATTCTGCGTTTTACCGCGCTAATTTGCTTCATGTTGTTAGTCCCGCTGTCAGGCAACTGGTCGATTGGTGTCGATCAAGTCTGCGTTGAGTATTGAGGAGCTCAACGTTGTTGCACTGTTGGTGTGGCCTGAGTCTAAGAAAAATCATCATCCACTGTTGCCTGGACCGTATCATAGGGCATAGACGTGTCAGTATCCGCCAAAGACAATTCCCGGAGTTGGCGGAGTTGCTCGTGAATGATATTGAAATTTTCTGTGGCCTCCTGCACATGCATCATCGTATTCAACTGTCCTTCTTGATAAGAAAATCAGTTTGGCGATTTTCTAAGCTTACCCAAGGTTTTAATCGAGTATTGGGCCTCCGAAACCAAACGGGTCGATTCCAAATTAAATTTTGCCTTCTTGTCATCCTCAAGCAACTGTTTCGGCAGTCAGTCACAAGCTTGTTTACCTACCTTGGGCAATGGTTTAGCATTGGATCCCGTCATTATTGTAAAGAACAGTAAACTAAACTGAGTTGCTTCTTAGTTGATTTAGTCTTCAAAGAACGTAGTATAATAAATACAGTAGTTTGGCTACTTAAAAATATGGTCAAAACCAAGTGACACTTAGTAAAGAGTGTCAAGTCTGAAATAAGTGAACTCAGTCAGAAGTGCCGTTATGATCGGCGCGTCTGCTGTTTTATTATTACGTTCCTGTGTAGAACGGGATTTTCTCTAACAACGGGTAAGATCAAGTCCTGTGGTCCCGTCCTAAATGTCCGTCTAGGGTACTTTGTCCACAATGGTACGTGCTGAAGGTCGAACTACAAAGGCAATGCGACCTCTATTCGGACCATACGTGCTCAGAGCCAATAGCATACCTGACAGCGTTATGAGTTATCCCATAGAAACGGCTCTGCCCCTATTGAGTTCAACGGCAAACCTGTCCGGGTCAAACCCCTCCGGTTAGTGCACTCCGGGTCAGGTCAAAACCAAGTAACACTTAATAAAGAGTGTGAAGTCTGAAATAAGTGAACTCAGTCAGAAGTGCCATTGGGAATGGCGCGCCTGCTATATTTATTAATACGATCCTATGTGGAACGAGACTTTCTCCGCCATCGGGTTATGTGATAATACCCGTCTCTATGGTTTCGTATGAGTCATCACTTCTATCTCATTAAATTCTCTATTCCACTAATCGATCCGGTGCTCTGGTCCGTTCCTCAAATAACTCCTAGGTCTGGTCCTCTGGTCCGGTCCTCAAGCCCGGTCCTAAATATCCGCCTAGGGTACTTTGTCCACAACACCGCCAATTTGGAGTCTGGTCTTCCAATGAACCTGTGTAATATCGACATTTCTGATTTTAAAAATATATAAATAAAATACAAGGGAAGTATCCAACCGTGGGGTTACTGCATCGTCGCAAATAAAAGTTACATAATTTTAAAATTATCCGAGAAGTCTTAAAATCCACAATGTTCACTGGGAAAACCCATACTTCAACTGTAAAAACAGACAAAAGTACTCTCATTTTTATAAAATACAATTAAAAAAAACAATTGCAATGAAACAATAGTAAAACAGAAATAAATAAATACAGTCAAAATCAGCATAGCCTCCTAAAAAGAACAAGGATGCTTGTGAAATCACTCATTAATATTAGTTGTTTTTAATTTTTATTTCTATTTTTAAATAAATTAAATAAATGAACTAAAATACGTAACTACATTTTCAATATTCGTTAGCTATGACCTTGTGTGTAGGGTGTGTATCATGTATACGTATATTGACAAAAATAAATAGCATTATATGCGTATTTATCCATTTCGCTTAGTTATTTACTTTGGAGTTTGGAGTTTGTAAATATAATTGCTCCTAATAATTTTACAATACTCCTTTTTAGGCCTACTGTCACGAATTTTAAAATTGAAGTCCAAAACCGCGGGAACATCCTTGTACTATTCCAAATATATATGAATTCTTATTCCTATTCTAATAAAACCGTAAAATCCCCTGTCCAATTTCCAAAATCTTAATTGCTTTTGTCCCCGACCAAATATAATGGAATAACCCATTGGTTGAATTTCCTTTTCCTTTTTATAAAATAAGGAAGTAAATTGACATTTCTAAAACCATTATTTTGTAATCCACTGTTAATGGAATCATACGGTTGTTCCAGATAAATATCATGAATATACAATTTCGTATACCAAATTTAACTTAACCATACCATTCCTATGTCAAAAATCCCGATTTTCTAAACTTATATGCCAAATAGTCATCAACAGTCTGTT